AATCTTCTGCCAGTAAAGAGCAAAGGGCTCTTGTCTACTCGCAATAAACCAAACCTTTAACCTGAGAAAAGGCGCTGTTTGGCGACGGGGGCATTTTGCACTTTAACGACTTCCCATCGACGTGTCGACCCATCTAGACAGCCTCTTCTCGAGTTGACAGGTTTTACCATGATGGCTTGACGAGCTTGCTCCAGCTTCACAAGAGTTCACAGGTTTCACCAGAGTGAGACTTGTAAACCAGAACTAGTGAAGCAACGAAAGTGCAAAATGCCCTCCCCCCTCGTCGGCAAACTGCGCCCTGAGAAAACTCCAATTAGCCTTGCAAACAAGACCAGACGTGCACACATTATGTGAATAACATTCCATTCACGATGACTCCGAATTTCGGCTGAATTGAAGAGACCATCCTGGCGGACACCGAAGATCACACTTCTATTTGATGAATGTCCGATGATGCTTTCTCATACAGCTTCATGCTCATACTGCAGGTAGCTCAGCATCTCCAGTGTATCAATAGGGGCAGGTGCCATTGTTATTCTCGCTTTGGCTCAGTATGTACGTGCATGATTTATTACAGAAGAGCCAAAAAGTTGATTTACCATGCTTGAGGTAGAGCTTTCCAGAAAACGTATTCCAAACTTGCAACAAGCAAACACACGCTCAGCTGCGAGGCACATCCTTGTCACCTAGGCCAACAGGCCCTAGCTATCGAACCGTAGCTGTTTCCTCGTACAAATGCACATGATGGGAATTCAGGACCGGGTAAAATCTGAGTACTATCCGAGTATACTCCACCTGAAATGCATGCAATGCAGGCTGCGGCGTACACACGCTGCACGCCGCTAGCATACAATCTCATCGGCCGTCTGCGGGCGCTCCTGGCACTTTAGCCAATTCCTCGGTTTGGCGCTTCCCCAATACGATGAAAAAAACTAACAATGCGGAAGACGATTGAGTGAAGCGTTTTCTCATCGCCTGGCAGTGGTTTGAATGCAGATGATGACGAAAGGCTAATATTAGAATAGAAAGTGGCACTAAAGTGTGCGAAGAAACGTAAGGTAATCAAAAACCCGTGCGAATCCTGCTATTCCGGGCGAATCCGGCTCCAAAGCCATAAAGGTTTCAAATCAACGAGTAGGACTCTAGGCCGTTTAAAGGCAGCGCCCGCGTTCAATTTGATGAGTTATGAGGATCAGACAGCGACAACAAGGTAGCAAGTAGTTCGCTAGTGAGGAAAAATGCAAAAAAAAATCATCGGATATGCCCTGTATAGGACCACACGCTGAGCAAAGGTTGTACGTGCTTAAGGCGAAGAGGAAGGTGCGGTCGCACTCTTCTCACTTGTTGATATCAGCTGTGTTCCCTTATCACCACATTATCACCATTCGAGATTTCACATTCTCACCATTCGAGCAGAACAACCGCACCATCAGGCAACCATTAGAAATGAAGTTGGGCGTAGTGGTCGCCAGGTGGGCGGGGTGGCCGACTCTTCACGAGCGGGCGCCGCTATTCTCTCGCATTTTTGAGTTGCGAAACTAGTACGTCCACCATCCTCATAGGGTGAGCTACGATATCCAAAGAGGGCGTGGAACAACAAATGAACGCGGGCGCTGCCTTTAAGTCTCATGCTTGGTGGGACTGCGCGGCCCTCGAGCAAGATTGCGGGAACAGAGTACTGTTCTTCAATTCTAGGTCTCATCCTTTGACTTAGAGTTTGCAGCATGAGCAACGTCTCAGTTGTCATCCGCGCAGTTTGCGTTTTATCCATTCGAAAGCGTACAAGACTTGGGAAAATGTCAAGAAAGCCGCGTGCGGCACGCGCCGCACAGAGGGCTGATAGATAGTAGATGGGAGGGCGACGGTAAACGGCGAAATCGCACTTCAGCATCCGGCCTTTGTGAGCGGCGGTTTCGGCACTAGGGCATCATGGTCAACTATCGTCACCAGCGAGTAACATCTTAAGTTGACTACTATGAACTCAACATGGGAATATCACCACACTATACTCACAAAAGCATCGAATCTTGTATAATAATGTTGATGATGTGGCGTTTCCCACAAAATTTCCGTTGAATTATAGGTAAAGTCCTGTAAGGCTTCATAGCTTGCTTTCGTGAAGAAATGCAGAAATGCCGAAAGTGAAGAAGTGCGGAATCTGCAGAAATGCCGAAAGTGCGGAAAATCGATACGTATCGGTTGCTTTTCTGCACATTCCGCACTTTCGGCATTTCTGCAGATTCCGCACTTCTGCAGTTTCGGCATTTCTGCATTTCTTCAAGTCGATAAGTATCTATTGCTTTTCTGCAGATTCCGCACTTCTGCATTTTCCGCATTTCTGCATTTCTTCACGAACGCAAGCTATGAACGCGGCCTAAGGAGGTACAAACGCCTTCTCATCATGTTTAGGCACCTCGCCCATCAAAGTGGGGACATTTCCTCTGAAGTCTACCTGCTTCCTTAACTTAAAGCAATCTGCGCTCGAAACGGCTTCTTCAAGATCTGCAGGAAGCAGTTGGAAACAGCTCTGTACACTTCATCATTGTCGCAGCAATTCAAGCAATTTGGCACGTTCATTTTGCGGGTCCTGCAGTTACATGCCACGTTAGAGTGTAACATTTTGTCGGTGATATATACAGTGCGCCTTCAGCAATGCGAAGCATGGGGCACATTTATAAGCAACGCTTCTGACAAAGTACTCTAGCTGGGGAAAAGGAGGTGTACTCTTTGATTTATGCCTTCAACTTTCAACGGGTTGGTTCAGATAATTCCCGGTTGACTCAGTGGAGCCGTTCTGGTGAAGCATTTTGGCCAGCTTTTGGATTTGACCCCATCAAGTCACGGTTGAGTATGGCCAAACTTTCTACATTCCGTGACTGACATATGAAAAGTGATTAACACACTGGAGATCAAACGGGTTCACTTCGCTCTTGAATGGGTGATTTTTCTTAATTAAGTGAAGTCATTCAAAGCATTTCGAATTGAAACATCTAATTGCTTCCTCTAAAATTCGTCAGGTGCGCGCCTGATTTTCGATTGTGCAAAATACGAGCGCTTTCATTCGATTGTGCAAAATACGAGCGCTTTCATTCGATTGTGCAGAATACGAGCGCTTTCATACTTCGTGGTTATGCGATCGTATGAGCGCGCGCTTCGTCTTCAGGGTAATCGTGCCGGGACCGCGCGCCGGATGCTCAAGTGCGATTTCGCCGTTTACCTTACGTCGTAGATGGGATTGGGATATGCTAGCGCCGTGCAGCGTGTCTTTGCCGCAATCGCATTTTAAGCTGAGTTTGGAGGCATTAGCCTATCCCATGGTTCTGAATCGCATCCCACGCATGTTCGGAGGGAAAACCGCTACGCGTTGACAGCCGCGGGCAGCCTTAGCTCAGACATGCCTAATACGCGTCTCGCAGCTGAAGTGCGTTGTAAGTTTAGCTGGATCTGTAGCAGAATATGAGAAAACCGTTGAACATATGGGAGCAGTCCTAGCTATACATCTTCAACCGGAAAATTGCTCATTACAACTCGAAGGTGTGCTTTATTCTTTTGGACACAATCACCTGCAATTGCATCTTGTAGTTGCCTTCCTTTGGAATGCCGCGCATTCTGACAACATACACGCATAGTATTGTGTAAAGGCTCAGCACGACAATTACGAAGAAAATATTGTGAATTGGTATCAAAATTGTACCATAATAAGCCGCTTCCTGAAATAAAGGAGATGGTAAAAGATAATGTTAGGAAAGGCGCGTGTTAGGAGGCGCCCGATTGTGGATTACGGTAGCGGCAGGTGAGTGCGAGTACGGAATATGTACGCAGCCGCGGAAAAAGAGGCGAGGAGAACATTCTATGAGGACACTCACCCAGGGCTGAGTATGAACGTTGTTTTTTTCTTTTGTAGGTATTTCTTCAAATTACACCTCACCGAGGAGCCCACGAGGTCCCCTGTTCTCTGTCACTAGTGTTTTGTTCTTTCCACGGCACCATGAGGACGACCGGACGAAGCAAACAAGGAGGACGACGCGAGCGGGTTTTTCCAGTTGCGTTTTGCTCTGCCTGTGAAATTTTTTCCCAAGAGAATGCTTTTTTCGAGAACACCGCCTTTGGGACAAGATACTCTCGCCTCGAACAGCATCCAGTGTACGCTCCAAAAATCCCTGTCTTCCCGCCTTTTTTCGTGTGTGTACGTTCATAAGCGTCTAGGGACTGTTTTTTTTTCATGTTGAAACTGATTTGGCGTTGTCGCTCTTATAAAGTTTTACCTCTCCGTACTAGAGTTAACAAGTGGTCAATAATCGCCATACCTTTTTATACGTAACCTAACTATAAAGAAGGCTACATACAATAAGTACTGTGTGCTACTTTTGAAGTGCATTTCTGTAAAATTATGCAGAAGCATAAGCTTCGTCCATATTTGGCAAATAAAAAACAAAATTGTGGAAGTGCGAAATGCCTCTAAGCCAACTTGCATCTTGCTGAGCCGCGGGGATGGGGGGACGGGGGGGGGTGGAATGGGGAGGAAGGCCGGCCTCGATGTTCTGGTAGGTGTCTGGGGACACAGCTATTGACTGTTGCAAGTCGCTTTAGTCGCGCTTAGCACTCGTTGTAATGATAATGACTCTTCTCCATTGATTTGTTCATTTGCGTGTTCCCGCTGCCCTCCTTGTGATCCCTTGTGGCTGTTACCACATACTGTCCACGTTTGCGCATCTGAAGGGGTTTTGAGTTATCTTTTGGGTGTATTTGTGTAACCGCGGTAAGTGACGGTTCAGGGCTTAGAGCACATATGGGATACTGCGAAGCGAGATCGCGTGCAGCACCGCGAAACAGCACATGAAACCACATTAGACCTCCCTGTGTATCCTTTTCGCTACGAATCGACAACTTACCACAGCTGCGAAGCAGTTATGTACTCTGTTTCTCTACGGCTACAGATCACCTTAACTCACTTGTTCGAAGTTGTCGGTAATCATTGGTAAAGGAGTGTAAGCAGAATCAGCTGTATTGAAAGGATGTGTTCGGTTGAGGAACGGTAAGGCTAGCATGTACATTACAGATAGCACCATCCAGAAGTATAATGTTTTTCCTGAAAGGTCTCATTAAGGCAGATGTAGTGATCAAGACGTGGCTGAACTTAATCAACATGAGAATTATGGGTACTTATGTCGATGCGCAATGCAATGTATTATAACTGGAGCAGTACTTGCAGGCAGCAGCGAGTGCGGTATAGGCGTCACGAAAGGGGTGACCTATGCAGCATTTGCACCAAGACCTAACTCACTCAACGTAGGTGTGTTGCGGCATATCGACGCTTAATGTCTCTGTTTCTATTCTCTCAATTCTACCACATCTCTATTACTCTGTATAATCTCTTACAATCTCTATTCTGTTCTGTAACGTAGAAAACACTTGCTAGAGCGCGAGATAACGCACTTTGGTGCTACGCTACGGCCTACGGACAACTAGAAGTCATTCTCTTCAATAACGCCAGCTTTCTGTTTTTCTCTGCGCTCTCACGTCTACATGTCATTGTTGGCCACGGATACTTTACACACTCTAACTTTTCACACGTAGTGCGGCTCATGCACCTTGGGGTCCCCCTCCATTGAAAGAGCTCACCCTTGACTCGCGATATGTTTTTCGCATCTTCCGATGCCTTGACAGCCGCCTTCCCTCATTTCTCCGCGCTCTGGCCTTTCGCGCTCGGACCCCAAGGACCAACAATCTCTATTGTCACGTAACACTACGCTCCACACGCGAAGGCGACAACTAACCTTGAAATAAGAAGCGAAGGCGATATGCTGAAGGAATCATTTCAACAACACGATTCAATGCGAGTACCATGCAATTAAATGCAGCTCCACACCACACAGCTAAATAGAGTCAGATTCCGTTATTCATTCTGAGCTAATGTACACTTACAAAATCGCAGAAATAACCTGATTCTTTGCTTACACCAGCTACTTAGCCTGCAGTAAGTTATAAGCTTTTTTGCAACTCCAAATTTTGTTATGATAGAATTGAGCTATCCCTGAGCCTCATGGTTAAGATGTCTTCTTCAACAGTATACAATGAGTACTCGATATAGAATTTTCATTGGTAAGCTTTCGCTGTGGTAACAGCTTCTTCAGACCTCAAATAAAAGAAGCATACATAGTACTTCAAATCCTTACAACAATCGAGCTGATTAAAGTACTAACCAGGCTTTACTTCCTCTTAACAATAGAGCCGCTAAGGTCTATAATACCATACAATAGAAGCCTACATTCGATGACAAAACCATCATACACTAACGACCTACCCCTGACCGACCTCCAATGCAACTTAAAGTCACTAAGAATGCGACATGCGTCATTGCCTCCATCAGCTCATCCCTGTTGTTTATTTCGGGGGATAACCGCTTGATAGCGATCGCCTCGAGCAGTTTCCTTTCCAATGGGCTATCCTTCGAGCGGTGCAAAACCGTGACTTTAAGGCGAGGAGGGGCTTTCGTGTTGGTGAAACATCGTGCGATGCCGCGAAAATCCACTTTTGGGGTAAGATGAGGGATTCCGCAAGGCTCGCACGTGTTCGTCCATCCTTATATATAAGGGTCGCATTGTTTCACCAACATATCTTCGACTGCATCCTTCGCACGTGACCAAGTAGACTGTCCCGCGTAGCTGGCAGATTTTATTCTCTGTACAATAGGAACAGTTACTTCGGCCACATTTTTCTTCATAGATACGGGATGATGTTAGCAAGCTTCAAGTTACAGTTACAGTTAAGTTAAGCATCGTACACTAACGACCTACCCCTGACAGACCTCCAATGCAACTAACTTGCTAACAAGCAAGGTCGTTAGTGTATGATGGTTTTGTCATCGAATGTAGGCTTCTATTGTATGGTATTATAGACCTTAGCGGCTCTATTGTTAAGAGGAAGTAAAGCCTGGTTAGTACTTTAATCAGCTCGATTGTTGTAAGGATTTGAAGTACTATGTATGCTTCTTTTATTTGAGGTCTGAAGAAGCTGTTACCACAGCGAAAGCTTACCAATGAAAATTCTATATCGAGTACTCATTGTATATTGTTGAAGAAGACATCCAAATTTTGTGTTAACAACAAGATATTTCGGCTTTTTATATTATCTGCTTATATGATCTACATGATGCTTGAAGATCTGTGGATTTTCCACTTTAGTGGCGCACCAACCAACATGAACATTTTCAACACCGACATGCGTTCAGCCGACGTTCTAAAGCCACAGACACAGCTCGAAAGATTCTTGAACACGTTAACGACATTATGAGCTACCGGTGGCTCATAACCTTTTGCGCCACTTTTCGTGTTATTGCCAGTAGTTTCTACTGATCCCCTCTTAGTATTCTAATCACCAGTAGGGGAATTCCCAGCAGGGCTGAGCAAGAAAAGTTCTGTCTTTTTTATGAGATATGTTGGAAATAAATTGGAACTTAAAGAAGCACTCCTGAGCTCAAACTGTGGCCGTACAGTTGGCTCAGGACTCCTATAATGAACAATCATGTTCGAATACATCGTCGGCGTCACATGGCTCCGTAAGCCCCCAAATTGGCCCAACAACCTTTTTTCCACCAGAGCGAAACAAACTTGTGTACCAGGGTTAAGCAAAGAATTAGTTTTGAGCGCTGGCGCCATTTGATGCCCACAGACGCTATTTCAATACCACAACCTAGTCTTGTTTATTCCGAGCGACGTGAGAGACCCTACTACAAACCGGTTCAAGCCATTCGGAAATCTCAGTTCTGTTTTCACTAGCATGCTCTACACCGTACGCTCCGTGAATTTCCTTCACGGAAAAAAACTCTTGCACCAAATTTTGAGCCCACCAGATTAAGCGAAGTCCAACCTCCAGGTCTGTGGAATATATTCCATGATCACCAGTAATGACCTTGTCAGTTGAAATGGATGTGAAAACAACCTGATCTAGCACCTCTCTATTGACTGGACAAAAATGAAGGTCGAAAGCGCTTATTAGTCCTGACAGTCGAATTTCACGACATGAAACTTTGAGAGTCGAATTCTCAAAAAAACTACTGTTCAGACAGCGCGCTAAATTTTCTATCGAACTATAAAAAACCCTTCAGTAATATATTCACCTTTACCCAAAATTTTGAGTAGAAGAGCGCTATTACTTGATTGCCATTCCAGTACATCGAATTTTTCTTATTCGGTCACTTCATCTTTGTGATGTTCATTATTATTGATTAATGTTATATTGATCCCACTTGATGGGCCCATCCAGAAGGGCAATGGAGAAGGTCATCCACGACTTCTACTCGGATCTCTTTGACAGCCACGTCCACCTGCACCATACCGCTTGGAGCAGGATGGATATGTCGTTCCTGCAGTTCTCCCTTCCGAAGTCCGACACGCCATCTCGTCGGTAAAGAATCGTACGGCACCCGGTCCCGACAGGATCAGACCCGAACATCTGAAGAATCTTCCGCCAGTTCTTGTCAAAACTCTGGCTCGACTCTTCACGCGCTACCTGTCGGAATGCAAGGTACCCACCTCGTGGAAAACCAGCAAGACTGTGTTGCTGTACAAGAAGGGAGACCTGTACGACATTGGCAATTATCGCCCAATCTGCCTGCTGTCTGTAGTCTACAAACTCTTCACACGAGTCATCCTGAACAGGATTGGCAGAACACTAGACGAAGGACAGCCATGCGAGCAAGCAGGGTTTCGAAGAGGATTCAGCACGATCGATCACATCCACACGGTAACGAAGCTCATCGAAGTATCGCGAGAGTACAAGATGCCGCTATGTCTCACGTTCATCGACTTGAAGAAAGCCTTCGACTCCGTTGAGACAGAAGCGGTTATCGAAGCCCTGGGCAACCAGGGTATTCCTACTCAGTACATCAGGATTCTTCGTGAGCTCTACAGCAACTTCACGACCAAGATCTCACCATTCTACAAGGAGATCATCATCGATGTGAAGAGAGGGGTCCGACAGGGCGACACCATCTCGCCCAAGCTCTTCAGCGCCTCTCTCGAGAACGTCATGCGTCAACTGGAATGGGAAGACATGGGAGTGAAGATCGACGGTCGGCAACTACACCATCTCCGCTTTGCTGACGACATCGTTTTGATAACACCAAACATCGAGCAAGCGGAACGAATGCTGGCTGATTTCGACTGCGCGTGTGGAAAAATCGGTCTACGGCTGAATCTAACGAAGACGATGTTCATGAGAAACGGATTGGTTTCTGATGCCCCATTCACGCTCAACGGAACGACCATCTCTGAATGCTCTAGCTATGTGTACCTAAATCAATATGATGAATGACTTAGCTCCAGAGCTGAGCAGGAGGAAGCGAGCGGCTTGGGGAGCCTTCAAGAACATCGAGGGAGTAGCGAAGAAGACGAAGAACACCAAGCTCCGTGCCCACCTCTTCGATTCCGCGGTCCTTCCTGCCTTGACGTACGCCTCAGAGACTTGGACTCTACGAAAGCAGGATGAGCATGCGGTCGGCGTTATTCAACGCGCCATCGAAAGGGCGATGCTCGGAGTTTCCCGCTACACGCAAGTGAGAGAGGGAATCCGGAGCTCCGCACTCCGCCAACGATCGAAGATCAGAGACGCCGCCGCATTTGCCAAGGTTTCGAAGATCAGGTGGGCCGGACACGTCATGCGTTTCGAGGACGACCGCTGGACCAGAGCGATCACCGACTGGATTCCACGGGATGTCAAGCGAACGCCTGGACGACCGCCTATGCGATGGTCAGACTTCTTCGTGAAAGCTCTGAACGAATGGTATGAAGTTCATCGTCCCTCGAGCAGAGAGAGTTCATTGGGCAACTCTTGCACGTTGCAGGGACGAATGGAGACGTTACTGGCGCCCGCTCGAGGAACTCGATGATCAACGGGAGCACAGGTGATACAGGTGAATGTTATATTGGGCAAAAAGGGTGTAGTGACAAGTGGCGCGCTCACTACGTGCGGTCCTGAGTTCAAATCCCAGGTCGACTTCCCGCCAGGCCAACCAAGCCTTCTACCCTCCGGGGACGGTGAATTGGTACCAGATTCGTCTGGGAGGATAAAACACTGACTTGTACATCGGCTGGCCACCGCAAGTCATTGTATAGGCCACATCGCATTCAATAATGTATTCCTCACCTATCGCTTGTAAACCTGGTCAGGCTGTATCGTCGGAAACTGCCTTCATGAACCAAATAATGGCTAGCTCTATACTGGACAACGACGGTATATCTCTTCTCAAAAAATTAACGATATTCTTTCAATCAAAGCTCCTGAAGTCGTTGGGCTCTTGGACCAATTCTTAGGTAAGTTGCCTTTGTTCATTAATAATGTTGTGAAAGTGATAAAAAGGAAAGGTCCATAGTCCTGTATGGTGTACCTGAGGCTGAACGTGGCCTATCTCCGTCTCTGCGTCAAGCTCATACGGAGAAGGTCATATCTAGCATACTTGATGCCCTCGACATGTCGAAGTCTACGGGATGGGTAGAGTCATGCAGGGTGAACCGCGTCTAGTGAAATGCGTTTTTTCTGCACGTAGATTTCTTTTCGAAACTCTATCTGGGGCCACAGATTACGGGCCATTGAACCTTATAAGGGCATCTTTATACGCAAATCGATGTCCATAGATGAGCGTAAAAAGGACCGCGACCTACGGATCAATGCGCGTGAGTTGAACTTGAAAGAATTTGAAGGTGAGCGTGTTTATGTCGTTTACAGAGGAGATATCGTTAAAGTTTCTGACATTCCTCTCACTTAAAATTGAGCGGAATTCTTCAATTGTTTCTCTTTCAAAAACTAGTTCTTTCCCAAGATGCGTACTTTGCACCTGCTCCCGCGAATCTTGAAGCCTGGGTCAAAAATCAATCTGTTACACTGCCTCATTGATTCCACGAAACCGGCAATCATTTTCGTCACTGATACTTGGCTAAACAACAATATTTCTGACGCTGAACTCTGTTCTGGTTTCCCATATACGATGATGCGACAAGGTAGGTCTGTTAGAGTGGTGGTGGAGTATGCGTTTTTACGCACAGTTCTCTGTTGTTTGAGAAGTAGTCTTCGATTATGGTTCGCTGTGCTCAGATGTTTTATGTTTCGATGCTCTATCACCTTGCTCCTCTTAGAAGGGCCAGAACCCGCGACCACAGATTGCGGTAACGCCGAAGACACCACATAGAACCGAAGAAGGCTTGTACTCTAATTGCGCGGAGAAAAGCAGCGAGAAAATGCAGCCGAGGATGTCATTAAATAGAGATGTACATGTCGACCCCAACTATGTACATGCATGCAATGAAAGAATTAACGCATAGTTTAGTACGAATTTCCTCGTGCCGCTTCATCAATAAAGATATCAAGCTCTTCGTTTATCTTATCACCTCACCTCAACAATTCCGGAATAAAGACGAGAATATATGTGGCTACTAGCTAAGTAGAAGCAGGCGGTTGGGTCGCATCGGCTAAGGGGCCCAATAGGGCCCTAATGGGATTAGTCTTACAGCAATTCTGCGATCTCACATGTCTAAAAGGCAGCCGCAGCCTCGCAAGTCATCCTTCCGGAATCGTCTGACCATCATTTGAAAGGTCATAGCTTATTTATCAGCCGGAAAGTGCGCTTCTAAGCACCAGATTGATCGCTAGTTTATCACCTCCCCCATTCAATCCACGTCAACAAGATGAAGAAGGATAGCCAAATCTGCAATAGATCTCGTATCAACGACAACTTTCAACTCAACTGTTTCTTGGTGACCTGAAACTAAATATAAATTGGGAGTCTCATGTAGCTTTGCAACCGGAGGCGCACTGACTCTCTGATACCTTATTTCTGAGTCAATTTGTGACTTTCCCTACTAGAGAAAATAGCATCCTTGATATCATACTATCTGATCAAAATATTTCCAATGTGTCCCCTCATGCCCCTTGTCAAACTCGGATCACAATGTAATTTCGTTTCATTTGTCGGCTCCTATGCCCAGGAAGGAGGTGTTTTTCAGAAGAGATTTCAAAAACGCGGATAATGACAAAATTGTTCATGCTCTTACTAGTATCGACTGGTGGAGTGTCTTTAACTCTTATGTTGACACTTGATGATGTTTATTCCCGGTTTATTGCCATCCTTCACGACATCATCAATCGCCATGTACCCCTCAAACAGTTTGAAAGGCACTCCTCCAGTAGGTATCCAAAACATGTTCTGAACCTTTTGAACAACGTGATAGGCTCTTTCTTCACCTGTAGAGCCTTCTAAAGACCCATATCAAAAGAGCTGGAATCACATGTAAAGCGCTACCTGACTTATAAGAGATATAAGATGGTTAAGAAAATGACAGCATGTAAACATATGAAAAGGCTTTATGAATACATAAATAAGGTGAAGAAAATCGCCAAACTTGCACAAGGTCCTTGAGGACTCGGAAGGCATCAAATATACCACAGACAGTGCTGAGGCAGAGGGGTTAGCGGATTACTTTGCAAGTGTTTTTGAAGGTATACCTGTATGCACACCAACTCTGCCAAGTCTTCCTTCAACCCACTTTGAACTACCAACTGTATCCTATCAAAGGGTGCTCAGATCTCTCCGCGCGCTGAAGCCGTCGTTGTCGCCAACAGCGGACGGGGTACCCCAATTTTTCTTCGAGCAATTTTCTGAGTATCTTAGTCCCTTCT